AATCTGTCCAAGGTTCCAGTTAGAAACATATAGTAATGTTTATGAGCAGGAACTCAGAAATCATAATCCCTACTAGACCACTTAATAACTTGTGATCTTGGGTGTATTACTACTTGTTATTGTTATGTGCCGTCAAGTCGGCCCCGACTCATAGCGACCCCTTCTGGGGTTGCCAAGGCAGTATCACTACAGAAGTAGATTGCCCAACCTTCCTTCCGAGGAGTGGCTGGTGGGTTTGAACCGCCAGCCTTCCGGTTAGCAGTCAAGTGCCTTAGGCATTATGCTACCAGAGCTCCTTAATAACTTCTGGACCTCAGTTTCTTTATCTGTATAAGAACAGTATCTACCTCATAAGGCTGTTATGTAGACAAAGTACATGTGAAGTGCTTGCTTAGTTTATAGAAAACACTCAATATTAACTGTTATTTTTACTATTACTAGGTACTACCCAGTACTACATCAACAGGGAAGTGCAAAAATTCAGAAACATATTCAAAAGGTGTGTATGTCGGGGAAATGTGGAACGAGGAATATCATTGCTGATGTCAGGTGGATCTCGGATGAAAGCAAAGAATACCAAAAAGATGTGTTTTACTGACTGTGCAAAAGCACTTGACTGTGTAGCTTGTAACAATTATATATAACATCACAAAGAACATGAATTCCAGAACACTTAATTGTGCTCATGTGGACGTGTACACAGACCAAGCAGCAGTCAATCAAACAGAAGGGGATACTGTATGAATTAAAATCAGGAATGGTATGTGTCAGGGCTGTATCTTTTCACTATACTTATTCAATCTGTATGCTAAACAAATAATCTGAGAAGCTGACCTATATGAAGAATGAAGCATCAGGATTAGAGGAAGACTCATTCACAACCTTCAGTACAGATTATACCTCAACATAAAGAAAATAATAATCCTCACAATTGGACCAATAAGCAACATCATGATAAACACAGAGAGTTGTCAAGGATTTCATTTTACTTGGATCCAAAAATCAACGCCCATGGATGCAGCAGTCAAGATCAAACAATGTGTTGCATTAGGCATATCTGCCAACAAAGGCCTCTATAAAGTGTTAAAAAGTGAAGGTGTCACTTTAAGGATTAACATGCACCTGACCCAAGCCATGGTATCTTCAATTACCTCACATGCATGTGAAAGGTGGACAATAAGTAAGACTAAAGAAGAATTGATGCCTTTAAATTATGGTGTTGGCAAAGAATAGAACTGCCAGAAAAACAAATCTGTCTCGGAAGTACAGCCAGAATGCTCCTTAGAAGCAAGGATGGTGAGACTTTGTCTTAAGTACTCTGGATACATTATCAGGAGGTATCAGTCTGTGGAGAAGGACATCATGCTTACTAAAGTAGAGGGTGAGTGAAAAAGAGGAAGATCTTTGATAAGATGGACTGACACAGCGGTGTAACAATGGCTTCAAACACTTTGACCGTGACAATGGCACAGGACTGGGCAATGTTTCATTGTGTTGTATACATGGGGTCTCCATGCATTGGAACTGACTCAATAACAGCTAACAACAGATATTGCCTAGTAACACCTTTTATTTAAGCTTTATAAGTTTCAAAACCCTGGATTTTAAGCCAAATAATAAACTAAAAGCCTTAGACTGAAAAGGAATCTTAAACTTTGGTGTGGTGCCTAAGGCGCTTGACTGCTAACCAAAAGGTTAGCAGTGCTAGCCCACCTGCCACTCCACAGAACCGACAGGGCAATCTACTTCCGTAAAGATTTGCTGCCTTGGAAACCCAATGGAGGTCGCTATGAGTGAGAATCCACTCAATGGCAATGGGTTTTTTTTTGGGGGGGGTGGGAATCGTAAAAGGAACAATTCCAGTCATAGATGAACCATCTTATATTACATTTTTTTGTACTTTCTGATTTTACTACCCTGTACATCTAGTTAAAAAATAAAAATACTTAAAAGGAAAAAAAATTAATAAAATACAAAGTAGTCTTTATTGTCATCCATTAAAACAGATCTTCTACACTGCCTTGTTTACATTTTTGGATTTTAATGGTAATATTAGAATTGTTTTTTCCATACATTTCCCTTGTTCCTAAATACTACATGGCAGCGAGTTTTTAAGATGTGAATACTTGAAATATAGTGCCAGAGAGTCTCTAACCTTTTTTTAGGGGAGGTAATCCCCACAATTTAAAGCACTCTTCCCACTGCCTCCCTGTGTTTACCATTTCCCTTCCTCCTCCTTTCCTATCTATGCCTTCCTGTCTTCTTAGCTTTATCCCTGGGCAAAGTAATGCTGTTCTTTTGATCTTGCATGGTTGACTGTTCTAATGAGCACATACCTTCTGGGTATTATTGTTCACCTTATAGGCCTGTTTATCATTTGCTGAGAGTTGAGTCACAGGGTTGCACTCAGTTTCCAGCGTAAAGGGTGTCTAAAGCCAGTCTTGGGGATTCTGTCAGTCTTTATCAGACCAGTAAGCCTAGTCTTTATGCTTTTTGAATTTTGTTCCATTTTTCTGTCACTCTATCCTGGACCTCCAATTGTGATCCCTTTCAGAGTAATCAGCAGTGGTAGCTGGGCACCATCTAGTTCTTCCGGTGTCAGGGTCCTGGAGGCTAGAGTTTACTCCCTAACTTCTTTAAAAAGCAAAATTCTCCCAATTTTCACAACTCAAAGCTAAACTTAAAAGTTTGTTGTTGTTATGTTCCCTCAAGTCAGACCCGACTCATAGTGATCCCTCCTTGGGTTTCCAAGGTAGTATCACTACAGAAGTAGATTGCCCAACCTTCCTTCCAAGGAGTGGCTGGTGGGTTTGAACCCCCAGCCTTCTGATTAGCAGTCAAGTGCCTTAGGCACTACGCTACCAGAGCTCCTTAATTTAAAAGTACAGTAATTAAAGTACAGAAGCTAAACATTCAACCAGTATTTTTCTGACAAAGTTCTACATAAAGTTGTATCTTTCTGAGAGTTACTATCCACATCAATTCTTCTATTTGTCCAACTCAGTTCAAAATCGTTTTATGCTCACCATCTAAGTGGTCCCTCTCAACAGCACCCTAATGGTAAGGTATCTGAGGAGACAGCTCATTCCCATCCCTGAGACGTGTAATCCAAGGCAGTATATAAGTTAGTCCCTAAGCTGGGTCCTGAATCCAAGTCTCTGGAACATAAGCAGTTATGCTTACCAACTATTATTTCATCCCCTTAAGCTAGCTTGCAGAGTAAAGTGAACCCTAACTGAAAGGATTGGACAGTTTGCCAAAACTGCAACAATGACTCCTGTTAAAACATTTACCCCTAGTGGTCCTTGGAAGATAATGTGATAGCTCAACTGGTGAGTTATGACAGTAAGGTAGGGAGTGATGCTGACACCCATTTTCAGATAGTTTAGAAAATCTGTTTGTTATATGACATTTACTCCAATACAGAGCTCACTCTTGCCTTCTCATAATCCAGTTACCTGGCTTGTTTTCTCGTGCACCCTACCTGGTGCAAAGGCGAACTGTTGCACAGTTCTTTACCTCTGCTCTTAATGTAATTATAGCATATGTACAAGATGAAGTTGATTCTATTCATGACTCTCAAATGGTGCTGTAGAAACACTGAAATGCAGAATTATTTAAAGATCCAAACAATGACTCTGCTTAAAAAGAAATCTACTTATTAAAAAATTAATCAATTATCTTCCACTTCCTAAATTAGAAATAAAGAAACTTAACTATGGTTTACCTTTGCCCTCCCAAGCTTCTAATATTCAGCTCAGTTTAACTTCCCTTCACCAGCACTCACTTGTGTTATAACCAGCAGTTAATTCCCAACATCCAGTTTCTTCCCCCCATGCCATAAAGGTGACTTCAGGTCCTGGGAAACAGGACTTGGCCAACTCAAAACACTAGAATGTCAATGTGGTGAACCAATAACATTTAGACTTTTATTTTGTATATATCCTAATTTAATGCTCAAAACTCCATCATACCACCCCACTCAGTACCCTCAAGTCAATTCCAACTCAGTGAGAGGAGAACTGCCCCAGCAAGGCTGTAAATCCTTATTGAAACAGAATGCTTAATATCCCCACAACCTCCCCACCCCACGCAGTGGTGGGTCCACTTGAGCCACCAGAGCTCCTCCAAAACTCCATCAATTATTATAACATTGTTTTTCTAGAACTAGAGCACACAAAAAGCTAAGTAAATTTTCCAAATTCATGTACTTAGAAAAAGTTTCAGCAAAAATTTTAAGCAGGGCCTTATATTTAACCACTACAAAAAAACTGCCTAGCCCTCAACTCTATTCAACCTGATCATTAAACTAATCGCATGACCTCGGGCCAGTCATTTTGTGTTCCCGGCTCAGTTTCCTCTACTGAAAAATTAAATTTTAAGGTCTTTTCATGCTTTCAATGTCTTGTGAATAGCCGACCGGATTACTCCTTATCCCAAATAGGTGCTGTAAACTTTTTTAGCCAACGCATGTTCTAGTACTTTCTGCCTACTCTTCAGGGTTCTAGCGTCTAGTCCTCTCTTTAGCATTTTATTCTCAAATATTCTGAACGTGTAATGCCCATCCTAAATAGTCCTTCATCTGAGATCACTTTTTCCCATTGCTAGAGGTACAGACTAGGCCCGATCCCACTCCAGATCTCTTACCCAGTTAGTTACTCCAGTGCACCTCGCGGCTTTCCAGGCAGCCAGGAAGAGGCCTAAAAAAGCCGTACAAGTAAAGCCATAAAAAAAAGTTAGCTTTTCCAGAGGTCAAGGGAGACTCTAGGACACCTGCCACGCCTCCCGACCCCCGCGGCGGGGCCTGGGCCTGGCCGCCAAAAGAAGCGTACCAGACCGGGCCTCGCTCTTCACCGCCGAAGCGTTCGACCGGACCGGACCCTTGAAACCCGACCCACTCGGCCCAGACCACGCCCGGCCCCTCGGCCTCGACGCCGCGATTCTGGACCATTTCTGGGATCACCACAGGCCGGTGGGTGCGTAAAGGCCTCCAGTCTCACCTCGACCCTCCTGGGGACCGCCGGCGGCGCCCACACTTCCTACCTCCCGCACACTCGGCCCCGCGCTGCAGTGGAGACAGCGACAGAGGCGGCCCGACCGTCACGTGTCGCAGAACCAAGAAGCCTCGGCCACTGCTGCTGCCGCCGCGCGACCAAGCCCCACTGCGCGAAGCCCGGCCCTGCGTCCGCCCCTCGCCCTTGAGTGGCTGTAAACGAAGCCAAGCCCCGCCCCCTTACGCAAGCTACGAAACTCGGTTGGTCAGTGTGGCTATCGCTCTACGCACCTTCCCATACGCCCCCTAGGGCTATTCTTCGTGGAGTGTGGGGATTTGCGGGAAATAAGGCAGGAAGTGGCTGCTGGTTGGGTGGCAGGTGAGGGGGTGGGCCTCAACGGAATCGGCGACGACTGTCGCGCGCTTTGTGGGGTGGGGTCTGACCGGCGTTGTGGGGCACAATTGCCATGGTGTCTTTATGGTGGTTCATCCTAACCACTGTGGTCTGGGCACCCAACGGCCCGCAGAGGGAGCGGGAAGTCGGTCGGCCATCAGGAAGAGTCAGGCCCCACGCAGCGAGTGTGGGATCCTGACCGTGTGGAGCCCGAACCCGGTACAGATGGCATTGGCCCGGCCTAAGTCGACTGTACAGCGCTTTCTAACCGGCCCCGTGTTCCTGCAGAGTCATTGCTCTATGAGCCCTGTATCCTGCGGCCGCCTCGTTGCCTAACATAAAATGCAGTTCAGAAAATTATGTTTTCTGCACGTGAGATTAGACATAAAGGCACAGATACACACTGACGATAGGCTTGAGAGAATAGGGTGGTGCAATGGAAATATTTAAAATACACATTTTTCTAACCTGTTTTTAGCACATCTTCATTTTTCACTATGCCGAGAACCTCGGAAAAAGCAGCCCAAGGTTTTTTTCAACCTTTAGAGGTCCGAATCTCTGTTACCCATTTGTTTGTATGACTAAAGGCTGAATCCTTGGGCGGAAAAGTTAGAAATAGTGAGTGTATCACTTATCCTAAAAGCCGGCTTTATTCCCTCCTGCCACCTGGAAAAAAGAAATCAGGGACTGGCCTTCGCATAAATTTTAATATTCTACTCTCAGCCACCAAATTTGCATAAGAGGATTTTGTGTTAAGGGCAAAGTAACATTAAGAACGTCATAGTTTAGGATGTAGTTAGAAGAACCATCCATGAGCATAGGACTGTATCCAAGATAAATGCTAAAAAGTGGGAAAAAAAAAAAAAACTTAAGTGAATTTGGGAATTTACTGAGATTTGAGCGGGGCAGAACTGTTTCCATCTAGGATGGACAGGGAAAGAGAAAGGCTGGAGCTAAACTGAAGCTGGACCTAGTAGGATATGAAGGTTTCTAAAGGTGGAGAATGGAAGTTTTCTTTTTATGAGGGGAAAAAAACCTCACTGACCTCAAGTTGAATCCGATTCATAGGGACCCCTCCTTGGGTTTCCAAAGCAGTTATCTCTAGAGAAGTAGATTACTGTCTTACTTCCGAGGGAGTGGCTGGTGGATTTGAACTGCTAGACTTCTGGTTAACAGTCAAATGCCTTTAGCCACTATGCCACCAGAGCTCCCCATATAAGAAAACAGCACATGCAAAAAAAAAAAAAAAAGTGTTGGGGGACACAGTAAGCAAAGTGTTCAGGCTGGAGTAGGGTGTTCATGAAAGTAAGTGATGGGAAATTAGCTCCAGAGTTGGGTTGGGACCAGGCCTTAAAAGCCTAGCAAAGGAATTTACAGGGAGATATTTTAGATTTTAAATTTAGGTCATGATTTAGGTAGCTTGAGAAGCATTATTTTGATAAGATTCCAGGAAGATCTAAAAGATTAACTATGAGGCCAGTTAGGAAGTCATTTCCTGCAGTTGATAAGGGCCACGTTACGGGATAACAGTGTACAGTATATAGAAACCAAAGCATTAAATGTTGATGCTGAAGGGTAATCCAATGGACTCAGGGAAAGAGAAGAACCAATGCTAGCATTTAGAGATTTTGACATGGGTGATGAGTTAAGGTGATGAATTGAACTCACTGCCATTGAGTGGATTCCAACTCATAGAGACCCCCTTTGGATTTCCCAGGTGGTAAATCTTTACAGAAGTAGATTGCCCTGTCTTCATTCCATGGTGGGTTTGAACTGCCAACCTTCGGGTTAACAGTCAAATGCCTTAGGCACTAGGCCACCAGAGCTCCTTATTAAGCTCCTTAAGTTAAGCTCCTTAAGTTAAGGTGATAGAGTCCCAAAAGAAAGAGAGAATTCAAACTTGTCAGATCCTGGGGACTATGGGTCTGGGCCCACGAAAGAGCAGGTCTGGAGATACAAATTTTTCGGCCAAAGCATAATGTGCTTCAAAGGAGGTGGCTGAGGACAAAACCTTGAAGAATAAGATATTCTCTTTATAATTTAAATGGTACTCTGAGTTATTAGAATATCTCATTAAAATAAACCATTATATAGTTCTTAGAGGGCAGTGGTGGTTCAGTGGTAGAATTCTTGCCTTCCATGCAGGAAATGTGGGGTTGATTCCTGGCCAACATACCTCAAGCATAGCCACTTCTCATCTGTCTGAAAGTTTGTGTGTTGCTAAGATGCTGGACAGGAGCTCTGGTGTAGTGTCTAAGGCAGTTGACTGCTAACCAGAAGGCTGGCGGTTCAAACCTATGAGTCACTCCTCAGAAGGAAGGTTGGGCAATCTACTTCCGTAGTAATACCACCTCAGAAACCCAAGGATGGGTCGCTATGAGTCGGATCTGACTCGATGGCAGTGTGTTGCATTTGTTACATTTATGATGCTCAACAAGTTTTAGTGGAGCTTCTAGACTAAGAGAGACTAGGAAAAAAGGTCTGGTGATCTACTTCTGAAAATCAGCCAATGAAAGCACTTTGGATCACAACAGTCAGATCCCATGTGTATGGGGTCACCATGAGTGAGGAGTCAACTCAAATGTGGCTAACATATAGTTCTTAGAGGTTTACAATGTGGGACATTGGGCTGACTGTATTCTGATCTTATGCTATAACCTGCAAGTTGTTATTTAAAATAATTGCTTTATGAAATATCCATCAGTAAATAAGTGGACAAACAATGACATATACATAAAATGATTTGTAGCCATAAAGAAAAATGAAGTTCTGATGTTTGCCACAATGTGGATGAACCTTGAAAACATTATGCTGAGCAAAGTAAGTCAGTGGCAACTAGATGAATACTGTATGATCTCACTTATATGAAATAAGTAGATACATAAAAACCAAAGTTTATTAATGGAGGGAGGAAGAGGGTAATGGGGAGCTTTTGTTTTGGGGGCATTGGGTTTATGTTAATTAATGTTTGTGGAATGTTTTAGATGAGGATAGTGATAATAGAGGAGCTCTGGCAGCATAGTGCCTAAGGCACTTGACAGCTAACCAGAAGGCTGGCGGTTCAAACCCACCAGCCACTTCTCAGAAGGAAGGTTGGGCAATCTACTTCCATAGCGCTACTGCCTCAGAAACCCAAGGAGGGGTTGCTATGAGTTGGATCTGACTCAATGGCACATAACAACAGTAATAATAGTGGCACAACATGAAGAATGTAATCAATGTCATTGAGTTGTAAATGTGGAAGTTGTATTGGTGTATGTGTTGGTGTGCATATTTTCACTATAATTAAAAAAGGAAAAAAATAATTTAGCAGTGGTTAAAGCATTCAGCTGCTAACCAAAAGTTCAGCAGTTTGAACCCACCAGCCACTCTGTGGGAGAAAGATGAGGCAGCTGCTTACCTAAAAATTTACAGCCTTGGAAACCCTTATAGGGCAGTTAGTTCTACTCTATCCTATAGGGTTTTGCTATGAGTTGGAATCAACTCAATGGCAATGGTTTAAGGCAAGAGGGCCAGCCTTTTATACCCTTCCTACCACTTTTTCAGTCAGTTATTGGAAGGGGCAACTCCATGGCAGTGGGTGGGTGGGTCCTTGTTCAGGAGCCCTGGTGGGACAGTAGGTAAAGTAATGTGGCTGCTAACCAAAGGGTTGCTGCTTTGAACCCACCAGCCACACACAGGAGAAAGATATGACAGTCTGCTTCCATAAAGATTTTAAAAAATAAAAATCCTATTGCCATCAATACGATTCCAACACATAGCAACCCTACAGGACAGCACAGAACTGCCCCCATAGGATTTCCAAAGCTATAGAGCTTTATGAAAGCAGACTGCCTCATCTTTCTCCTGCAGAGCAGCTGGTGGGTTCAAACAGACGACCTTTTTTGGTTAGTAGCTGAATGCCTTAACCACTGCGCCACCAAAGCTCCTTTCTGTAAAGATTACAGCTTTGGAAACTCTATGGGGCAGTTATACTCTGTCCTATAGGGTCGCTAAGAGTTGGAATGGACTTGAGTGTGTTTTGTCCTTGCTCATTCACACCTTCCTTTGCTGGAAGGAGAAAGTGAGGCATGCAGAAAGAAGGAGCACCCCACATCTTGAACCAGCTCTCTCTTACTGATTAGGCTATAGTGGCCATTTCTCTATACCCACACTGATCTGGCACTATCAACTTGATAGGCAAAGAGAAACATGTCATTATTTTAATTCAAGTTTCTTGTTTTACAATGAGGTTAAACATTTTTTACATCTATTAACCATTTATATTTCTTTGTGAATTGTCTATTCACATAATTTGTCCATTTTTCTATTACAGGGTTTGTCTTTTACTTATTGGTTTTTAAGAAATCTTTATGTATTAGGTTATTAGCTTATCTACTCCAGTTATTTTTTTCACAATTTTGTTAACAGCTTTTTAATTTCATGGGCTTTTTTTTTTTTTTTTTTTGGTTATAAGGAATAAAAATACATAACTAACTCAAGGAAAGTATAGAGACAGCAGAAAATACAAAGACAGGAAAAAAAGTACTGCCTTGCCTTATGTTATCTGGAACTAAGAGTGGGAATGGAGGTTGTTCTTTCTTGTCTTAAGGAGCCACCTGGACCCTGCACCTTTGCTCCAGCCTCCTCTTCCCCGTCATTACCAGCTTGCAGTCACTGCTCCTGGCTCTGGCTTAACATACCTTAAAGCTCTTCTTTAATCCTGGCTCCTCAACTCCAGGACCAATTGGAGTTTTCGATGTACATTTGTTGTTGTTATATGCTGTCAAGTCGGACCCAACTCATAGCAACCCC